TCTCAATTCCAGACCTGAAGGGTAGCTAGGGGCCATAGTCTCAGTGGTTCCACCAGGCTCTATTGGACCAGCAAACCTGGTCCCAACTGGAAAAAGTAGAACTCTTATTGGCCATTTCTGATGGGCAGGAGAATAATGCACAAACTAAAATAATAATAATAGAAGAACTCATGAGGAGAGAATGAAGGAATGTTTAAAGGAAAGTTGAGAGTTGACATTTGAAAGTGAGATGTTTCAGAGCACCTGAGGAAATGTGAGAGATTCAGAAAGGAGGGTTTCCCTTCTTTTTTTCAATGTTCCTATGGATGTTGAATAACTTTTTTTAACTTTTGATAGTAGGCATTGATTCTTTCATTGGAACTCTACTGTACTTAGGCCTCAAGGTATCTGCATTTTCTCAGGTTACAGGAACATCAGGGCATGGTGGTGGTATTGATGATGAAGATTTGCTGGTAAACATGGGCAGCTTGCCCCATTTCATAAAATCTTCCTTATATTTACCCTGACAGAGTCGTGCACATATTGACATTTTAGGCATCTCCATGAAAATATTCATATGTTTCGAAAGCTGCAGTTTATTCATCTTTCAAATGAGGGTAAGTGACATGATCTATATCTATGGGAGGTTTTTGTGAACAAACTCATATTGTACAATGTTTACAGGAGCCTTTAGGGATAAAATATCTCTATACCATATCTGCTTGACAATAAATATCTCTATTTCTATAAGCGTCATTAACTCCATTCTACCTTTGCAGAGATGGAGGATATTCTCTTAATAATTTTTCCAACTGATATTCTACTCCTTACCTGTATTGTCAGCCATTCTTTAACATATAAACTCCTCCCCTCAGAACATAAAAGCCCACATTAAAACAAAGCTAACAATACTATTATTTATATGCTATTTCTATCATCTCTTTATATTATAATCTTATATTTCTCATGGTGGAATGGTATAATCTTTAGTATATCATCTATATTTTCTCTTATTTATTTAAATTTTATTTATTTATTAAAAGAAAAACACTGACATTGATTCTATTCCAACTCATGCCAACCCCATGTGTTAACAGAGTTGATCTGCTTCATAGGGTTTTCTTGGTTATAATCATTATAGAAGCAAATTACTAGACCTTTGTGCTGTGGAACTGCTGGGTGGGTTTGAATTGCCAACCTTCAGGTTAGCAGTCAAGCACAAACCATTTGTGCTACCCAGGAACCTCTTATTTATGTTTAAGAGGTATAATTAGTATATGGTAAAATGCACAGATATTAATTATACAGTTTAATAAGTTTTGAAAAATGAATACACTTGTATTATCTAAATTACAGTCAAGAGATAGAAGATCTCCATCATCTGAGAAAGTTCACTGTTTCTCTTTTCCTGTCCATCCTTTCCACAACAGAGGCAGATATTTACTGATTTCTAACCAGAAGGCTAGCGGTTCAAACCCACCAGCCACTCCTCGGAAGGAAGGTTGGGCAATCCTACTTCCGTAGTGATACTGCCTCGGAAACCCAAGGAGGGGTCGCTATGAGTTGGGGCCGACTTGATGGCAAACAACAACAACAACAACATCCAATATTAACTGTGCCTTCATAAAGAGGTAAGTATGTAGTGGTACTGAAGGAGCCCTGGAGATGCAGTGGGTAATCATTTGGCTGCTAACCAAAAGGCTGACTGTTTGAACCAACCTAGTGGATACATAGAAGACCTGGCATGATTCTTCAGTAAAGATTACAGCCTAGAAAACACTATGCGACAATTCTAGTGTGTCCCATGGGGTTGCTGTGAGTTGAAAACAAATTCTACAGCACTGAAAACCACAACTGGCTGTGTTTGCAGAGACAATAGGGTCTTATTGAGCAGTGCCAGGAAGAAGGAGACAGGATTTTGATTGCTGGGAGAGAACTGATGTGAAGAGTGGTGACCTAGAGGTCCTGGGATGAGTGAGAAGTAGTGACCATCTACTTCTGCTTGCTCCATCTGCTCTCTGCCCTACTTCCACTCACAGAATCATTTTATTCCATTTAGGTTATCTGGAACTGGGTGGGAGGGAGGGAAGAACAGAACATTGGCAAATTCTTCCCTTTTGAGGACTTGTTAGTTATTTTTGAGTCAACATCTGACTCATGGTGACCCCGTGGACAATGGAACAAACTTCTATCCAGTACTCACTATCCCCATGCTCAGTTGCGGATCAGACCATTGTAATCCATAGGGTTTTTGTTGGTTTATTTTTGGAATTAGATTGCTAAACTTTTTTCCTTAGTCTATGTTAGTCTGAAAGCTCTACTGAAATCTGTTTAGTGTCAGAGCAAAATGCAAGCCTTTAATGATAGGTGGTTGTTGTTGTTGTTGTTTGCCGTCGAGTCGGCCCCGACTCATAGCAACCTCTCCTTGGGTTTCCGAGGCAGTATCACTACGGAAGTAGGATTGCCCAACCTTCCTTCCAAGGAGTGGCTGGTGGGTTTGAACCGCCAGCCTTCTGGTGAGCAGTCAAGTGCCTTAGGCACTATGCTACCAGATAGATGGTAGCTGTGTATAACTTGCATTGGTTTAGGATTGAAACCAATTCTACTGCATGGAAGGAAAAGATTCTACCACCAATTGTTCTGTGATTGACGAAGGATGAGTGTCTGGAAGGCAAGGAATAGAACTGCATCCATTGGCTCTGTGTCTTCCTTATAGGAGAGGTAATTTCAGGTCTGGACATTCAGCAGGTGCTCAATGAGGCACTGACATTGGTAGTGGAGTTAAGATGTGTGCCCAGATCAGTTCATTTCAAAACCCCTGAGCTGAGATATTACACAGTATATGTATATCTTTGTGTCTCTCTTGACTTATTGCCAGTGCTTTATTTTCTCCAACATACAAGTATAAACAGTCTCCATCTGTGTGCTCCTAGGTCTTTTCTATAACATCTGAGAGATTTTAATATGCTAATCTATGTCTTTACAACAGTGGATTCCATTTCCTTCTTCAATTCCATTCTCCTCTCATTAGCTTCTGGAGCAAGATCATATTTTTCTCTGACTAGTAAATGGGTTATTCTATAGATAAACTGTAATAAATCATCCATATGCTTTTTTTTTTTTCTCTCTCTTTTTTTTTCTTTCTAATTTTAACAAGAATGTCCTTTTATGTCCTGAGATTTCTTAGTAGTTCCTTAACCAAGAATATCACCTGGGATCCTGAGGGCCATCAGGAGTGAAATATGCATGAGTGAAAACTAATCCTGTGACTGCTTTCATCACCCTGGCATGCTGACAACTCTGCCCCCAACCCTGCAAGGGCAATTACGCTCACTGATCCAGATAGAGTGATACAATATGAGTCACTCACTGGGTGTTGCTTTCATGCCTATAAAGGCCCCAGGATGTCTGTTGGATGCCCAGATTTAGACAGGGTTAAAAGTGAGTATTTACAATGATGTTTGCCATTTTAAGAGCTACACTCTTCATGCCCTGGTGCCTGGCTCTCCCGGTGGTCCCAACTACAGACCTTAAAGGATGGGACTTTGTTAAGGTAGGTATGTGAATCAGGGCCACATTACCTTAGTATAGCTTATGACTTTCTTGGATCCTATGCATTCCTTTGCCATTGTGAATCCTTTTCTATAAATATAAAAAATAGAAATATATATTTTTATGACATATTTAAATATTTTCTTCAATCTAAAATTTCATTTTTTCTTTTGATTTTCAAAAAAATTAAAACATTTTTATAAGCCCCTAAAATTATTGTTGGCTGTAAGTATTTGTACCCACTATGCCTAATGGATAAGTCAGCCCTAACACATATCTCCCACATGCTAAGCCTTATATTTGACATAGGGTGAATACAGATGGTGTGTCTGGATCTGCGAGTCTATAAGGTGGTGAGGGATTGGGAAAGTGATTCAAATCCTTCTTCCCATTGACCAGGGAAACTTCCAAACTGTTCACCACATGCTTTCAATTACTCAAGAAATTCTGAATTTGTTCTAAACCTCTGAAGTGGCCAAAATACCTAAAAATCCTTACCACTGATTTCAATCATGTACTTTGCAACTGTTCAGAGAGCCAGTACAATTTCTGCTAATAATTAGTACAGAAAAACATGCTAAGTCATTTGCCTCAAAACACCAAGCTTAACTTATAATAAAATAAAAGTATAAGAATGTAGAATTTATCTGCAAATAACAGTGAGCACAGTGTGGTGTATTATTCAGTTAGATACACATGACTTTTTCTGAATGACTGGATTTTTGTGTTAGACAGATATGTTGTTGTTGTTGTTGTTATGTGCTGTTGAGTCGGCCCCGACTCATAGCGACCCCTTCTTAGGTTTCCGAGGCAGTATCACTATGGAAGTAGATTGCCCAACCTTCCTTCTGAGGAGTGGCTGATGGGTTTGAACCACCAGCCTTCTGGTTAGCAGTCAAGTGCCTTAGGCACCATGCTATCAGAGCTCCTGGACAGGTATAAGCATTGTATAATTTTTATACTCTGTCTGTCTTGAATCTAAGTTTTTGTGACCATTTCATATAGAAGCTGCCTAGTATGAAAAGACTAATGCTCAGTCCTCTCTCTACCCAAAATTTCTGTAGCCAATGCCAAATCTAGGAGATTTATAGCTAGAGTCAGAGGCACCTAGTGACTTGTGCTTCTAAAACCTCCTCTCTCCTTGAAACAGGGCTTGAGTCTCTATATGCAACTCAAACTGGGAAACTTACATCAGATCCAAGTTGATTCAACACTATCTTAAACTCCACCCCTCTGCAATAGGTCATGGTTCCATGACCTAAGCAGGAGCAGCATAGATTTGCCCAAGTCCTGAGATAATTGGGGGGCATCAGTTTGTTCTCTTATATTGTTCTTCTTAAATTACCCTTGCTGAAGAATTGTAACCACTTAGAAATCACGGTGATTTTCAGCTTACCTCTCTAGGCCTCTTTGAGGTTTCACAGAACAGGTGACAGACCCTCTGGGAAGGGTCACTGCTTTGCAGTATTCCAGAGAGTGTTATTTTATTTTGTGTAAATGGCACATTTGGAATAGTATTATGTATAATCTTAAGTATACCTAGTTGTCCTGTTTGGGCAATAAAACATTGAAAATTCCACTGGATTAAGGTGTAAAGAAGGGTGATGGGTAGTTAGTGGTATGTGGAATAGGCCAATAATTCATGGTAAAGTCCTTTCAGTGATAACCCCTGGGTGGTCTGTTTTCTTGAGGCTTGTAATGAGGTTAAGAGTGGGAGAAACTGCTTGGATTAATGGATCCACAAATAATTGATCTATGACTATGGACCAGTGATTATAAACTTCTAACATAAACATTCCATTTGGGTGGTTCTTTGAAACTTGCTACCAGTTACATTATTTCTTTGTCTATAATTTGAATGGGAGCTCTGGTGGCTTAGTGCCTAAGGCATTTGACTACTAACCAGAAGGCTGGTGGTTCAAACCCACCAGCCACTTCTTGTAAGGAAGATTGGGCTATCTACTTCCGTAGTGATACCACTTTGGAAACCCAAGGAGGGGTAGCTATGAATTGGACCTGACTTGACAGCACTGACTTTTTTTTTGGGGGGGGTATAATCTGAATATGTAAAAAAAATAGCACGAAAGATCATCTTTTATAGCCATTGCTATAAAAGGAGCTCATTTTCACCCCAGATACTAGCTTTAGTAGAGCTTTTATAATTACTTAATCCATTCTAAGAGTTTCCTGAAAATTAGGGCAAAAAGAGAAACTTTTGTGTTCGGTAGTTGTTATCTAATGAAATAAATCATACTAGTTCTTAAATCAGTCTATGCCATTGTCTGTGTTATATTCTAAAGGTACAGGGAAACCTGAGTGACAAAGTAGACTGTGTCTTAATTACAGTTTTATAAAAAATGTAAAAATCTATCAATAGGTTTACATGAAACACTATCATAAGAACTGTGGGGTAGACAAAGCTGTGTATAAGACATGGATATTTCTCTCACAGTACTTTCAATCCAGCTGGGAATCAAATATACATACAGAACCCAAGACTATAATATATACATATATATATATATATATATATATGTATATATATATATATATATAATTTTTTCTCAGAATTTGAGATTGAGTAATTGAACTAGAAAGAAAGTCATTGGAGATAAGGACTGGATGATGAATGGACTCTTTAAAAGTATTTGAATGGAAATAATTAATTGAACTGGGCATTGTAGAATCAAGCAAATTCTCTGTAGTAGGACACACAGATTCTCTCCTGACTGATAAAACTTGGATCAGTTGGAAAGCCCAGAGGCCATCTTGTCTAGGCAATGCTCACTTCATATCTTCATGTCTTTTCATCTTCGAGCCTCTCTGTCTGGATGCTATATTCTGGGACAATTTTTTACCTGGTTTTTAAAATCATTTTCATTCGATCACCTGTGTTTAGCATTATCTTTCCAGTGACATGGAGATCAGGGATGGTTGACACTATCTGACTGAAAACAGGAGGATTAAGAAGGCAGATAGATAGAACATCATCCCTCTCATGCCCTCAAAAGAGGCTCTGCTCTGGATTATTGATGCTATGGGTACTATGGATTTGCCTTTATTGTCTCTAAGTAGTCACCCTTCCCTGTCTCTCACACCAGGACTATTTTCATCGGTTTTTCATGACCAAGAAGGAATCACCAATCCTTACCCAGGGAGAACAGATACGATTCCTGCAGCAGTTCTTCCATCTGAACGTGACAGGCTTATTGGACAAACAGACACTCGCTGTGCTGCGCCAGCCCCGCTGTGGGGTGCCTGATGTGGCTTACTACTCTGTCTCCCCAGAAAGGCCTAAATGGAATAAACTCACTCTGACCTATAGGTGCTTGTTGTTTAGGCCTGGAGGGATGTGTGGGGATGATTATGTTCATATACTTCCTCAATGTCCCATCTGGGACTACGTCTACTGTCTTCTGCTTACCCTGCTAATCTCTCCAAAGCATAAAATTTCCTGCCTAGCATCTGATTCTACAAATTCTCATTCTTTCTTCCTCAAATCAAGCTTTAGGTTGTATAGCTAACCTCTGTTCTTATTGCCGTAGGTTGTATTTTTCTTCTGCCACCATTCTCAATACTAACAGTAAACAATAGGAAAATACTCTTTGCACATTTTTCCTCTGCAAATAGTTACTTTCTATGAACTCACTCTTCTTCCATTAATTAAATAATCTGTTTTCTCCTAGTGTGTGTGTACGTGTGTGTACGTGTGTGTGTGTGTGTTTAGGACACGGTTCTGAATATTACTCCCTGTCTAAGTTACTCTGTTAGGGCTCCTAACATATTTGACACATTCAAAGCAAAACAATGCTAAACTAGACAGCATGCTACACATTTAAATTGAATCACATCCCCCCCCCCATAAGTGTCACAATCACCCTGTGGGGCAGGAAATCTCAAACTTTAGTTAACTAAGATGGTGCTTTTTAATTTTTAAAGAAATATATATATTGTGGGTTTCATTCTGGGGTTCTGATTCATTAGTCTGAAATTAATTCAATTTTATAGAAGAGGAAAAACGGATCTAAGAATTTAGGTAATTTGTCTGAAAATTCAGTCACTCATTTTGGGAGCTGGGATAATTCCTATAACCTTGGGCTATTCCATTTAAAGATTCCTTCTCTCAGGATTATCAATTACCCATATGGTTTGAAGACATCCACAGTGGAAGATATTATGCATTCGGCTGTTTCTGTCTGGAGCAGTGTAACCCGCTTGGTCTTTGAGCAAGTGGAGCATCAAGAAGCAGACATCAAGATTTCTTTCTGGACCTTGGGTAAGAACTGACAAGGAAGGGAGGGCATATTAAAGGGAAAAATGTCCCTCTCTATAAACAAAAACCCAGTTCACATAGCCAGCTTCTTAAAACAAACAAACAAACAAAAAACAAGCAGGCAAAGCACTTATGGGAATCAATCTATAAACTAAAGGAAAGGCATTTTTAGTTCAGAGGGGTGTGGGTAGGGGAGAGGGCACACTGTTCATTGTGAACAGGGTGACAGAACAGGAATTGCACATTTTCCTATCAAAAGGGAGCTGTGTAGCTCTCAAAACTGTTGGAATGCTATTTGAAGTGGATCCATTCTTTTTATAAAAATCTGCAGGGTTTACATTTCCTTTTTTCCATTCCTCTGTATTTTGGGAAGAGGTTTTTGTGTCTAATCTGTAACCTTCATCCAGTCTCTGTCATACAAACCCTTTCTCTTTGCCATAGAAGATGAGGAGCAGCTAGATTTTTACCCCACCCCATTCCTTTGCTAAGACCTGGAATAGCCTCAATGGTACACAGCAGCTATTCCTTTGCAGAGATGGTGCCTTACCCTTCCTGTATCCCCTACAGTATCTAGATGCATAGTATCCTCAAGTATGGATTTAGTTATGATCACCCTTGTTCCTGTCGTCCCTGCCCTCATCAGGACCTACGTATCTGTCTTTCACAGCCCACGGAGATGGAATGCCCTTTGATGGACCAGGTGGTGTCTTAGGCCATGCCTTTTTCCCACATTCTGAAACTCCAGGAGTTGTCCACTTTGACAAGGATGAACATTGGTCAACTTCATACAGAGGTAAAGATCCTGTCAGAGGGTAGGGCAAGAACTTCCTGGGGGTTGGAGGCTGTGGCTCCATGGTCTTCATTTGGGGCTGGGGTATGGTAAAGGGGGGAGGTAAGGAATCAGAGTGGGCAGGGGGAGGCAGGAAGAGTTTGCTGAGGATATGCTTCTCCTGCATGAGTGAGGCAAGGTGGAGTCAGTTATGAAAACAGATGGTCTTACAATGAACACATCCTCAGATGGTTCTTATCTCTCTGTTTCCATTCATACACATCTCATTTCTCTGCATGTCTCTTCCTCACTTTCAGTTTACATCGCTCTATGTTTAGCCATTCTGAGTCACACTTATCCTCTTTATCTCCTTGCCTACCTTTCTATTGCCCTCTGTTTGTTATTTCCTCTATTCCTCTCTCCTTTCTTCTCCCTTCTTTACCATATACTCTCTATCTTCTCTATTCATCATTAATTTTCTTTTTGTATGCACCCTTTTAGGGATTAATTTGTTCCTGGTTGCTACTCACGAGCTAGGTCATGCTCTGGGCCTGTACCACTCTGGGAATCCGAACTCCATAATGTACCCCACTTACGAGTACCAAAACCCCAGAACCTTCCGCCTCAGTCGTGAAGATATCCAAAGAATCCAGCACCTGTATGGTCTGTGCCTGTGGGAAGAAAGGGGATCCAGGCAAGAAATTATACTGGGAGTTTAATAATGTTTTCCTCTGTCCTCACAGGGAGAAAAGAAACATGATTTCCTGAAATGCCTGATGGTGATATAGAAAGCCATTCAACCTGGCCTTTCCATGGCTTCATTAGAGGATCAAGAACTCATGACACTAAACTCGCCTTGGTGACTGCTAAAATTGAGCCCTAAGGAAAGACAACTGAGCCAAACTCAGAAAATTTCTGGGTCACAATAAAGATTATTGCAACCCCCCTTTTCTAGATTTCTTAATTCCTTTTTTAAAAAATTTTTGTTTTTAAACTATTATTACTTGGGTGAAATTTTGCAGAGCAAATTAATTTTCCATTAACAAGTCATACACATTTTGTTTTTTGACATTGATTGCAATTCCTGCAATGTAACAGCACTCTTCTCACTTCCTCCCTGTGTTTATTGCTTTCATTTGTCCTTCTGTCCTTTACTATCCCTTTCTGCCTTCTGAGCTTGACTTGGACAAATGATGCTCTTTTGATCACGGATAGTTGGTTATTCTAAGAATTGCATACCTCTCCACTGTTCACCTTATAAGACTGTCTCTTGTTTAGCTGAAAGTTGAACCACAAGGGTCAACTCAGTTCTAGGCTTGAAGGATTACTAAGGGGGCACAGTCTTGGGAGTTCCACCAGGCTCTAGCTGACCAGTAAGCCTTGTGTTTTTTATGATTCTGAGTTATTTTTTACACTTTTTCCCCCCACTCTATCCAGGACCTTCTACAGTGATCTCTTTCAGAGAGGTCAGCAGTAGTAGCCAGGTAACATCTAGTTCTTCTATTCTCATGGTCATGGAGGCTGGAGTTCATGTCCTTTGAACTAATTATTTCCATGAATCTTTGATTTTCTTCACTTTTCTTTGCTTCCAGTGGGGAGAGACCAACAGACACTTCATATGTCCACGCTCAAACTTTTAAGAAGCCAGTTGTTATTCACTACAGCAGGACATAGAACATTGCCTAGTCATGGATTAGAGATTTTTAAAATCTGTGTCCCCACTATTTGGTTTATCTCAGCATTTGATATGTCCAACTACTGTGATAGGGGCAAGAGAAAAGAGTGTACTAAAGTTGGGAAAGATGGCTATGGAACTATAGAGTCAGCTGCAAGGTAATAACATATTGAAATAGACTTTTGGTGTGTGTTTTGGTTACCTAGTGCCACTCTGACAGGAATATACCCCAAAAGGGATGGCTTTAACAGACAGGAGTTTCTTCTTACAATTTGGAGGCTCTAAGTCTGAGTTCAGAGTGCCAGGCTGTAGGGGCTGGATGAAAGTCCATGGACCTTTGGCTTCAGCTCTGCCTCCTGCTCCCTGTCCACCAAAGCTAGAAGCTTTTCTTCACTCAGCACCTAGCTAGGTGCTGAGTCTGACAAACCCCAGGTCGACAAGTAATAAGGCACAGTGTCGATATTACCAAACCACACACGTCAGGCCATTAATTCAAGTCCATTAGAAATCCCAAGACTGGCAGAGCATGGCAGGCTGCTGACCAACAACTCAGCTACATGCAGGGTTCAAGCGTGCCATAAGCTAGAGACCATTTCCAAAACTGTTTCTTATATAGAGGAAGCAGACCACATCCCTAAAGCAGCTACTCAGCTGCTTGTAGTAGATCCCACCATGGAGCTGATTGCCTGTCTCATCATGGGGAATAACTACCACCAGCTGCCCAGTCACACAACATTTACCACAGTGTGTTACTACTGTATGTGTATAGTTTAAGAGATACTATCATTTATGCCATGTTTAAGATTGTAGTGATAGAGACCAATTGTTAGACTTGATTGTTGATCCAACTAATTAGCTAGAAATTTTTTTAAAAAATATAATCTATAAAGAAAAAATTCTCGAACAAATAGTTTTAAAACTGACTAAAAAGGAAATCTGAACTATCCTATAACTGCTAACTATCAAACTTCTCATTAAAACCACTTCTAGATGTGTGTTTTAATAAGAAAGCATGCCAACACATGTATAAAATCTTCTAGAGGAAAAAAATAAAAAGGAATATTTCTTAAACCATCTTTTTCAGTTCTGCATAATCTTGATACCAAACATGACAACGGTGTTATACATAAGAAAAATTTCAAGTCACTCTCACTGAATAACATAGATACAAAAATCTGACACAAAAATATTAGCAAATTAAATTTGGCAATAAATAAGAGAGAACAAAACAATATGTCCAACTTTACTTTATTCCAGAATAGCAAGGTTTATACATCATTTAAAAATCAATCAATTTAATTTATCTAATTGAGAGGATAATGGAGGAAAACTTATGCAATTTCAATAGATTCAGAAAATAATTTTATAATATTTATCATCTTTTCTTTTCTTTCTTTATTTATTAAACTCCTAGCAAGTGAGTAAAAGAAGAGAAAACATTTCCCGTGAAGGTAATTGTAAAAAAATCCTACAGCAAATTTGCTTAATGGTCAAATATTGCAAACTTTACCTGTGTGATCTGCAATGATACAGAATTCTGTTTTCAGCACATCTGCTCAACATTTCAAAGGAGGTTTTAGCCAATGCAGTAAAGCAATAAAGACAATAAAGATGTAAAAGTCGGAAGATGTAAGAAAGAAACTAGCATTATTTACAGAGATGTGATTTGCTAAAAATAAATTTTAAAAAAAGCAAATTTATCAGTTTTTGGAAAAAACATAAGAATATGAATTTATATTATTTTATGTATCAGTTGCAACAGTTTTTAAAAGGAGAATTTATAAGTACTATTTACATTAGCATGAATTATTATCAACTATAGGAAGGTTGGGCAATCCTACTTCCGTAGTGATACTGCCTCGGAAACCCAAGGAGGGGTCGCTATGAGTCGGGGCCGACTCTACGGCAAACAACAACAACAACAACATATAAGCATGAATCTATTTTGCAACATATTATACAATATCTCTACACAAAAACTATTCTACAATATTGAGAAAAAATTTTAAATACCCATATTCTTGGAATGAAAGATTTGATATTCTAAATATTTCAAATCCCCAAGTTGATCTATAGATTCACTAATTCTTAATAAAAATCCCTTAATATGTCTTAGGAGAACTGATGATATGTTTCTAAAATTTATAAACACAAAGACATAGGCTTACTAAGCTATCAAGTAAAAAAAAAGATATAAGATACATATATATATACGTATATATATGTATGTATGTATATATATTCCACATGGAAATAGATAAACTAGAAATGTTTTTTGCCTTTATAGTGCTTAGTATGGAGCTTTGAACACTGTTCTTACTTACTAAGTGGCTATTAAACACATGAATAATGAACAATCCTGTTCTCTGGGAAGTGGTAACAGAACACTTCTGTTATATAACAGACCATATCACTGTACTTCATTACCAAGTTCTTTAGAGATGTCACTACTAAAAGTTAAAATTTCAGTATTCCTGAGAGCCAGAGTAGTTATCATGAGTTCACTATCTTATTCTCATTTGAGAAATGGAAATTATAACATTTGAAAGAAAGAATTGGGAATGGGAGAGGGAAGTAGGGACACAAAAATTCTGTTTTACAGGATTGTGATCACATGCTCTTCACACAAATGTGATGAGTGCTGTTTACCTTTGCTTCATCTCTAGGATCCTGCAGACTCTAATAGCAGTCCCTAACTCTCTGCCCCAGGAGAAACTGGTAGTATTATTAGAGATGGTGAGAGCATTCAAATCCCACTACTTAAGGATTCAAAGGTTTTCAAGACCTCAGGTCCACAGAGATTCAAAACCGTAACGACTGCAATCAATACAGTTTTTCTTTTTTTTTTTTTCAGATACAGATGGGAGATTTTGTCACATGAGGCACAAGCCAAAGAAGGCAAGAATTAAAAGGACATAAATATAAAGAGAATTGACAAGAAAGACAGAGGGAGCAAAAGGAGAGAAAAAGAGCAGTAGAAATTTCAACAGAATAGAGGAAGACGGAGATCATAATAAGATTCAGTCAGATTGATTAGGAAAAGAAAAAGAGAGAAAGAGAGAGAATTACAGATTCAAAAGGCACAGATTTAGATAAAGACAAAATAGAAGAAAAGGAAGTAGAATGTGGAAGGAGAGACCAATAACAAATGAAATGAGAGTGAGAGAGAAAGCCACAGAAAGAAGATAGGGTTTTACACACAATAGAGGAAAGTTTAGGCAGAAAAAGGCAAAGTGGAGGAGTGGATCAATTGGGAAATGGACTACTGGTTGCACTCACTTTGGAGCAGCCATCTTGTGTGCAAATATCAGGTAAGTGTTAAATATTAGTAGAAAATAAATAGTGGATGGCTTTAAACATAGTCTGTGTTAACATATATATAGTAATGAGAGAAAATCATTAAAAGAACAATCTACAATTTTACAGGTGGAAAATGGATGCCATCCTTTCTGAATAATTTTGAAATACAGGACACATCTTAATTTCATGCTCCAATCATTTTAATATTAACACACACTTAGTGGGAGATAATTTTGAAGACTGCAACCAAGATGCTAGAGAGGATATAAGTAAATGATTTCATCCTCAGTGCTTCCCCCTTAATTTCTTGGAAGAGGTGAGTGTGTGACATAGTTTTCCTCATGCCACTGTCCTTGGGAACAATCTTTTCATCACTCTTCATCTCTTTCTACCACTTTTCTTTAAACCTCACTGTGATTAAATTGTGTTAAGATAAAGAATCACAATGATTATTGTTAATGACAGAGTCAGAAGAAAATTAACCGAGAAAAGACAACTATATGAGACTGATAAAAAGTAAAAGACAGCTATAACAGATGGAGCAGTGAGAGTAAGAAAGTATAAATTAGAGATATTCCTACTTGTCGTAACTTCAAATCGAGAGTCCAGCTGACTATTAAAGTTTTCTGAAAATTTTAATCTAAACATAGAGAAGACAGAGCAGAAAGAAAAACAATTCCAAAGAGTAGTGATCCACTTTATCTCCTCCAACTTCTTGAAGATTGAAAATGTGATCCATACCATGTTTGGAAGAATTTTTTTAAAAAGCATGGCACAATTGCCTGGCATGAGGTAAAGGAAGATACTCCACTGCAGGCACAATATTATCACAGTGTGTGTGTATCCCAGTATGTTATTCATAAATCAAAAAACCAAACTCACTGCCGTGGAGTCGGATCCAACTCATAGCAACTCCTCCTTGGATTTCCGAGGTAGTATCATTATAGAACTAAATTCATGTTTAATGCCTAGAGTGCTTTGATGAACTGAGCTTTAGAATAAGGAAGAACAAAGAAGTTTGAGCGAGGAATAAGATATAATGTCAGAGACTTTGGTAAATGTTGAAAACTAAAGAGAAAAAAATTGCTTGAAGGTAAGATAAATAAATAAATAGAAACATGCACTGAATGAGTACTCTTCCTGATAGATGTAGAATATGGTGAATAGTTGACTTCTTTATCCAAGGTAAGGATTCCAATTAACATTCCATTTAGATGGCTAAGGGCTGGAGAAATGAGCAAGGTGGTGTCTGTTCAGAGTATCAAGGATGCCTGGACTTTGGAGAAGAGAGAGACTTTTGTTATTGTCTATAGTGAATGGCTCCGTATTTCCTCTCTTCCTCAGGTATAAGTTCCAAGCTGAAGTTCTATTTGGAATTCTAGGATATGCATCCAAAGAAATTTTAATCTTTGCATGATAAAAAGGAGCGAAGAATCAGTCAAGAGGGGAATTTTAAAAAATAACATTGTATAGAGAAAATTAAAGATTAGTGCTGGACATCTTGAGCCCAATGATATGAGTTTTTATGGTCACATTTGGAAAGATCAGCTCTGGTGGTGTAGTGCTTAAGGCATTTGACTGCTAATCAAAAGGCTGGTGGTTCAAACCCACTAGCCTCTCCTTGGAAGGAAGATTGGGCAATCTACTCCTGTAGTGATACTGCCTGGGAAATCCAAGGAGGGGTCAATGTGAGTTGGATCCAACTCGACAGCAGTGAGTTTGGTTTTTTTGGTTTTCTTTTCTGACTAAGGCTAATACTCGGAAGGAAGGTTGGGCATTCCTACTTCCGTA